CAGCTAGCTTCTTCAGGAGGACTTCTTTAGTTTTTCAGTTTTTATTTTCTATTAGTATGTTTGCAGTACATAATTATCACATTCCTCTTGGGGAGCTGGTACATGTCCATAAGACAGCTCAATTCTTTTTTCATCCTCTTCCCCTCTCCTACTTCCCCCCTTACCTCTATCTCTTGGTCCCTTTCCCATATTCAAAAGGTAAAGTCTTCTTTACTGTTTAAAGCTATAACCACACATTTATCTCTTGCGGAGCATTTAGTATATTGTCTTTGTATTGTAATTAATTGTTTGTGTTCGCATCTTATTCAGCTTTAAACTTATTGCAGGCAAAGATTACATCATTTTGTTGTTTTGCTTGTTGTTGTTGTTGTTGTTGACAAAGATTTTTATTAGTATTAAGTGATATGGACTTAAACATCATTGTAAAAACAACAATAACCTCCCTCAGCCTTTAGACAAAGAATATCTATCTAGAAATTGTATATAAAGATTGTGTCTTCTTTGTCTTTGCATCCTTCATAGTGAGAGCTAAAAATAACCTTCCATATTGACATTTAATGCATTTCACCCAAATTAATTTACTCAACCTCTAGAATTCTATTATATCTTCATGTTCTGCTTATGTAGAAAAGGATAATAAGATTTTACATTTATTTTTCACATACTTCTTTTTTTCCTGTCTATATTCATTCTATTTTTTAGAAGTTGTATTTCGTTTTTTCAATTTATCCCTTTTCTGTCCATGAAAAAATACTGAAGAAGAAAATTACCATCCAACCCAATAGTTTGTTTGTCCTAATAGCACCCAACAGAAGTAATCTTGGCCCATCATGATTTCTGGGAACAAATAGGTCAGAGGTTCTGGAGAAGGATGAAATGAAAAATCAAAAAAAACTGTGGAAGAGATACTTGTGCTCCTACCTCTTCAGTTTATTCCATAATTCCTCAAAACATAACCAGTGCTAACAATTATATCCTCAAACTCTGTAAGTTAAAAGAAAACGATGGATGACTTTTAGGTTATTCCAATTTGTAATTCAGCAGCTTGAAAAGTTTCCCCACCACTATGGTGACGATTCTTCATTAGGTAGCACTTGCTAATCTGTTGACAGGAACCCATTTTTGTCACTATCACTTTTGTAATGTAATAATTATCAAATTTTATTAATTTTTCAAATAAAAGTAAAGACAAACGTCATAGAGTGCTATCATTTAGTTAAATTTATTCATGTTTACCTTTTTAATGTATGTTTTATATATTTTAAGTTATACGTGTGTTTATATATATTTATCTAAAATTTTAAATAAAATACTTCCTACTTGTTAAAATTTGTGGAATCTACACAAGATTACTAACCTGAGTCTGATTTAACATTCAGTTCAATGTTCTGCAACTTTCTCCCTTATTCCCTAACCTTATTTAATAAACAGAATTTCTCGATTTTTCTGAAGATACCATCCTGTAACTCCTTAATGATTTCATTCATGTCTTTTCTCCCTTCCCCTGGCCACTTAATATCTACTCAGCTCAGTGCTATCTCAGGAGTAGTCTACCTTGGAGCCCTAGCCAGTTAGGGGTTGCCTCCCTTGCCTCATAGCGCCTCTGACCTCATCTTGACTCCTACTATTACATAGTATGTTTTATGGGACTTCTCTCTGCATTTGTTTTTTTTCTCGGTAAAACACAGACTTCCTCAGTTACAACTTCTCTGGCTTTGTATTTTCAGTTCTTAAACGAGTGCCCTTTTCCTACTACATCTCTTAAGTGTTTGGACTGCACTGTCCAGATGCCCTTAAATAGATTTACAGTACCACCTGGGACATTCATCTTTGGAGGGCTAACAAAACTGAAATGATCATAACTAAACATAAATCATAGAATTTCACTACAAGAATATGTCTTTTAATTTACAAAAGATCTGAATTAGATGAATGAGAAATACACTTTACATTTCCTTTTATCGATGCTATATTTTTCAGGTGTTTCTTGCTTTTTTATAGCTTTTATTTCTGAGATCATTGTAGATTGAGTCATGTAAGTTACATGAAACACATGGCATTACTAGTGCACTTCATTCTGTTTGTGTCAGGCTGCTCTTTTAATCAGCACTGAACTTTACACTACAGTGCACACATATAACAGGCTATTGATCTAACAAGTCCCAAACAAAATAACAGTGCTGTATTCCCAAAATAAAGTTATAGGCACAGTTGAGCATCCCCATGAAAAAATGAAAAGAGAAAATGGAGAAATTCCTCATGACAATCAGCGAAATCCTCTAGTATCATCCTCTGAGGTTACTTTCACACTCACAGATATTATAGTAAATGCATTCTTTATCCATTACTCATAAGATCATCTCAATTTGTAACTAAGATATAGTGCACTCTAAATTTATTCTTAAAATTCAAAAGGATAATAAATCATCCGAGTGTTCCTCCCTTCTATTTTGAATCGGTACTAAACTTTTTCAAGTTTGGTAATACAGATATGTTCTTAGCTGAACATAAACAATGTACACATGCATCAAAACAGTCACATAATAACTCATAAGTAAGTACCAGTTTTATGTATCAATCTTAAAATAAGGATTTTAGTAAGTAAATCTTTTTGTGTTAGCCTTAGCTTGTTATAGTAAAAATCTAGTTATAGTAAAAAAATAACTCATTGATTCTTTGAATACTGTGTTCCTGTTTTGGCCAAAACAGAGAAATCTGGTGTATCTGAGCTAAGTATGGTCTATCTCCTTTGTACTCTCAGAAATAATCAAGGATTTGGCAACGTTTATGTCGTGATGTTCTTTTTGCCAACTCAGTTTGCTACTCTAACTCAATCCCAGTTCTTCTCATTCACCTTCAGATATCTTGGTTTATTCTTTCCTAAGATTATTCTTTATTCCTCTTCTTTTCTATACATTTCCAGTTTCAAAAAGCATGCATATGAAACATCTTGTAATTTACTGACAGTATATACTTACTTCTTAGGAGAAGATAACTGAAGCCTATACGTTCTATCCCATCTTTGCTGAATATCTTCAGCTTGTGACATAAAGGATATCTGATTTTTTTCTCCCATGCTTGGACATTATCCTTCATGGAAGTCATGTTGTTAAATAGTGTTCTAACAGGATTTTCTTGTTGGAATGAGAAAGAAGCAAAAGATGTGATGGAGAGAAAAAAATAGCAGTGGAGTGCAAGATAGACTGAAAGTAAAAGTCTGAGGTGTTGGGTCTATGACCACTGATGTATGCAACTTTATCACCTGTGTGTGTGTAAGCTGTAGAATTTCAGAATTTTTAATCTACAATAAAAATGATAATGTATCTTTAGAGAACTATTATGAGAATTAAAGAAACTACAAGAAAGTACTTTTAAATTTTTCAAATAAGTGTGTGTGCGTGTGTGTGTCCAGTGTGTGTGTGTGTGCGTGTGTACCTTGAAGGGAACAATCAACCGTAAAAAAAGAGATGTTAAAAATACAAATACTCTCTTTGAACCTTCACAATCTTTCCATGGTTTGGGTTTGTAAATGTAATGAGATACTGCATGAGTGAAGAGCTGCGCTGTGTTGGGTCAGAAGATTCGTGCAGGACAAAATAGTCTGTGGTGTGTAGACTTGGTACAAGACTCTGGTTATATCAGCTTTGTAATAGGAGGACTCTGTGATTTCTGTTAGCCTCCAAGAGTCCACTGTGAAGGAAGACGGGGAAAGAAGGCATACATGTCAAGAGTAAACCACTATATCTCTAAGGGAAATATACAGGTTACTTTTTATAGCTTATAGACTATGTTTAGGATACTCTTTCTCATGATAGATAGTACATCATGATGACAGCCTATGAGTGACATTCAGATCTTATGGGCTGTGCCAGTGAAAATTTGTCAATGCTATTCAGGATTTACTTAGCCTGTTGACAACTTTCCAAAACCTAGAGCTATTAGGGGAAATCTTTCCTCTAATAATAATTGAGATACTAAGCTCGAGGCAAATTCAAAGTGTACTGTCTCATTTCTCTTCACAATGAGATTATGAAGAAGATACAATTATGTTGCGCATTGCGTTTTACCTATGAAATTGAAACATGAAGTTCAGGGACTTTTCTGGTCACTCATCAACAAAGGCAGAGCCAGGAGTCACAACCATCTTGATCCAGAGACCCTTGCAAAGCTACTTTCTCCACCCTGGGCTTGCATAAGAGTTATGAAAGAAGTAGTTTTAGTTTCTGAGATCTTAACCTAAAATGGGTGGGCTCTTTGGGTACATTAACAAATGCCTTGCGTACATCTACCTAAAAACTTCTCAGAGGAAATTATCTTTACATATAGCAATCTAAGCTTATGTATTAGGAGGAAAAGATACAATCTATCAGTAACTAACTCCTTTAGTTTTCTGTTCTTTCTCGGGGGGGGGGACTCTCCAACCCAGAGTATCGATTCCATATTGCAAAGGTATTGTGGAACTTGAAATTAGTCTTTCTGTATAACAGAATGTCAGCATATTTGCCAAAAATGGATTTATACGTTTACCTACAAATAAAAAATACAAATATCTACAAATAAAAATAGTTTACCATTGTTTGTACACCTTGAGGTAAAGCTGACATTATTGACATATGCTATGGGTTCCATTGAATACCGTAGTACAGACGTGGACTCTGCTAAGTTTTTGTGAAATCTAGGCTAAGAAGAGTAGAGTTTTCTCGATATTTATGGAGTTGAAACTGCTGAGTTAGCAAAGGAAGCATTTTAATTAGAAAAATATTTTCCTGTATATGCTCAGAGTACAATAGAAGGGAATCTTTTTAATCTCTTATTATGTTTCCATATATTAACTGGAAATATTTTCTGAGTTTTTCAAAACAGTTTTGGTTGAGGACCTCCCAATTTTTTAACCATTTATTTACACAAGCAACAGCCTATCCTTCAAATTATCTTTGATTTTACTTTCAAGTAAATTTATAAGACTCTTTCCAGTTAGCCTTTTTATTTGTATGTTTTAGGTATCCTGGAGATAACATCAGTGGAGATTGGAGTTGTTGCTGTCAAAGCCATTAACAGCAACTATTACTTAGCCATGAACAAGAAGGGGAAACTCTATGGCTCAGTAAGTATTCTGCTTCTGTTTTCCAAACCCTCTGTAGAAAATCACTACCACAGATTTGGACTGTTTCCTCCCTACACTGAATAGCTTTGTTACCCTTCTCTTAATAGTAAATAGAACCACAGTGCACTGCTCACTAGAATCTCAAAGGCTGGCAGAGCAACTCTTCCAAGAATGTAATCTCCTCTATAGTTCACCCATTAGACTACCACACAGGTTGTTGCTGGCATTTGTCTGTGAACATTTTGAACTACAAACCTGTCTGTCTTTCGTGGAAGCATCTGTTCAGATTGGCACCGGCTGCAGACAACTTGGAGAAGAATCATTAAAAACTAAAGACCTCAGATAAGAATAGAAAACTGTATCCTCTCTGTGTGTATGTGTGCTACAGCTGAAGATAAAACAGAGGCTCTGATTTTTTTTAATTTTGTTAAAATCTGAATGGGAAAATGGGAAGAAAGTCATCATTTCACAGTTTGTTCAATGAACTTTAAACTATATTTACTTAGGCAGAAGACTTTAATTCAAATTATGCCTAAACATCATAAATATATGTGAAAATATTATTCTTTGAAGTAAGGTGTTTGTGGAGCTTCAATTCAGTCGGTGCTGTGAATATATTTATGTGTACCTGTCTGTGTCTCACTAGTATCTAGTATATTGAATATCACCTCTACCACCATGAGTCAAATTCATGTAGACCAATTCTCTTAGACCCAGGTGTCACTTAAAATAATGAATGGTTATTTTAAAATAAAAACTGTATTCATTATAAAAATTAAATTACAAACAGTACAGCAATTTATCCTGTTCAGGGTTTTAAGATAAATATGTATGCACATCTAATCTGTGTGGATGTTTTTTGGCACATCAAAACATAAGAAGTATGTAAAGTAAGACTTCAAGTAATGGACAATGTACCTGGAAAATGTTAATAAATACATAATTATAGAATAATTACTTTTTAAATACAAAGAAGGCCAGAATTGAACCCAGGGCATCACACATGCCAGGCAGGCACTCTAGTGATAAGCTAAATCCCCAGCCCTTTTTATTTTATTTTGTGTCAGGGTCTAAATTGTACAGACTGCCCTGGAATTTGTAATATCCCTGCGTCAGCTTCTGAGTAGCTAGAATTACAAGTATATACTGCTGCTCTCAATTTAAGCACGTTTCAGCTTCAATCTCTTAACTTCAGTCTGAATGATGACGGTATACCAGTTTATGAATGTGGATGCAATTCATTGTGTCAAGCCCAGAAGTAATAAAAGGGATGCTAAATGAATCTAAGGGTTATTTTTTCCTAGATGCTATTCTAGGGGAGTACACTGAAGACAGTTGTACACACCATTAATTGCATTTTTGGAGGATATGTGACAACATCAGTGACTGGAAATAAAACTTGAGACATAGGACACTTAAACAATCTCATTTTTTCCTAACCAGATTTTTCGCTATTTTTATAGTTTTCATAAGATCAAAACAGAATTTCACTTTAAATATGTAAATGAACTTACTTTCTTGATTAGCATAATGACTGTCTAGAGCTGGTAGCTCTCAAACTTAAGCATGTATCAGAATTAGCAAGAAGGCTTATTAACAGCCAGAATGGCAGAGCTCACACCCAGATTGTCTGACTCTGTGACTCTGTGGTGGGCTCTAAGACCCTGCATTTCCAACATGGGCTCAGGTATTGCTGATGCTGCTGAATCACTTACCACAACCTGAGTGAGAACTAGTGGTCTGGAGATAAAACCCTGCATTTTAGTCATATCAGGGCCACTTTCAATTGAGAGTTGGACATACCAGGATAAACTTTGCATGAGGGCCAGAGGAACTGTAGGTAAAATTCTCTATTATTTTAACAATAAAAAGCTTTTATTTAAGAATCTAAAAGAACAATGAAGCATTTTAAAAACTGGCTCCATTTAAAGGTTCACATCAGAGGCACTTTTTGTTTGTTTGTTTGTTTGGGTACTGAGGATCAAACTCGGGTCCTTGTGCTTGCGAGGCAGGCGGAAGAACCACTGAGCTAAATCCCTGGCCCATCATAGGCAGTTTTGAGGCACAGTTTACTTTTTATTAAATATGTCTACAGCCAGGCTCAGTGGCATGCACCTCTATTACCAGCAGTTCAGGAACTTGATACCAGAGGATTACTCAAGCCCAGGAGTTCAAGGCCAGCCTGGGGAACATAATGAAGCCTCGTCTGAAAAAAAAAAATTCCCATTAAACACACCCAGCTCCTCTCCTTGGCCTACCCTTACCAGGGTAAGAGGAACAAGTGCTTACTCTTTGAAGAGATATTGATGTAAACAGTCAAAAACCAATGCTTGCTAAGGTACTGCCAGCTAATAGTAATTTAGATTAAGAAAGAGAATGTAAATAATTTTTACTTGAAAAAAAATTAAAAAAATAAAGAAAAATACTCATAATACTCAAATGAGATGTGACAAAAATATTTAATACTATTCCGCCCATATCTCCACCTTTTCTTCCACTCCAACTTAGCTCCATAATGCGCTATCTTCTCCAATTTTTGAGCTGCAAGCTCTGTGAATTGACTTTTTTCTAGGTCTTTCTTTGAATTTTTTTTTGCCAGGATTTTGTTTTTGTTTTGAGGCAGCGTCTTGCTACGCAGCCCAGTCTGGTATTACTCTTGCAGTCCTTCTATTTCAGCTTTCTGAGGGCTGGCGTTACACAGATACATCATGGTGCCTGGCTGCCAGGATGCTTAGCATATGACATCACCTTAGACTATTTACCTTCCATGGCCCTTATTTGATGTCATTGCTATGTTTGTTTTTGACTTTCTCTTCTCAATAGCTTGTGACCTTTGAGAAGGCAGGATCAGCCTTGTCTCTTACTGTATGTTCAGTACCTGAAACCACAGGGAGCACAGACTTGTATGATGCATAATCCTGACTAATATGCTCTCCATTCACTTCCAGCCTGACTTAGGAAAAACCCACTCTGTAACCAAAGGGTTCCTTTTTTGTGATTCTCATCATTACTAGGAATAACAAAACAATTATGATATGGTTAATTAAGAGCAAAATGTACTCATATTGAATGTCCTGCTGAGAATGGAGCAGCACTAACAATTCTGTAGCTAAACATTGCTATCAAAATTTATGATTTCATACCCGATACAATTCTGTACATCAGATGACAACTATGTTATTCCTGTCTTCATTTCTTTCCTGAAGTTTCCATTGATTTCAATAAGCCTTTCTGGAAAATCTCAATTAGACAAACACCCAAAGTGATTGAATAAATCCATTCTGTATCAGTTCTCTTTTTAATATTTTCCTTTTTTCAAAAACGTGTAATTTTCTTATATTTTCCTTAGTCATTCTTTGAACAATGCATCTGTTGTATTCCAATTTTTTCTTGACTGAGGCACTTAAATAAATTGTGAAACTGAATTAAGTAGAACGGACTCTCGTAGAGCATGTTAGGTACTAAAAGAATTTCAGATAGCTGGAGAAAGCCTAAAATTTTTTTCTAACTTTCAAAATCCTGCTTTGGGACATTGCTGTAGCCTAGCTTAAACAAACAAACAAACTAGTAATTATACTTTGTCTACATTCTGTGAACCATATAGATTCTTAACCCTCTCCTTCCTTCAGAGATTAAAGTTATGACACATTTGAGTTTTGGCCTAAATTTTAAAAACACATAAGATGAGCAGGCTGATTCACATGCACTTTGTTTTAAAAAAAATATTGCTCTATAAATTCATGTCTGGAGAGGAAACAAGCGTCCACTCTACTTTTTCATCGACTGGAGTTCCTTAGATGTTTTGTGTTCAGTGGAATCAAGTATTATCACGGTAGAATAAAGCATTATGCTTTTTTTTTCTTTGCAGAAAGAATTTAACAACGACTGTAAGCTGAAGGAAAGGATAGAGGAAAATGGATACAATACCTACGCATCCTTTAACTGGCAGCACAATGGCAGGCAGATGTATGTCGCACTGAATGGTAAAGGAGCTCCCAGGAGAGGACAGAAGACACGAAGGAAAAACACCTCAGCTCACTTTCTTCCAATGGTGGTGCACTCGTAGAAGACAGCATATTCACGGGTGCAGTAGAACCAAAGGCTCTCTGATCAGGCCTAGTGATATTCTTCATGAAGACAGTAGCTCAAAAGGCAAAGACACATTGCAGATGTCTGCTTGCTTAAAAGGAAGCCTGTGGAGGTTTTTGTACTCAATGTTGACATATGATGTTCTTTTCACTAGCTCTGTGTCGTGCATTATAAACAAGATATAGGCAGATCAAATGGGATGGAAGTTATTCCCAAGAGAACAACATTGTGGCTGGGCTCTTTGGTTAAGTTTTTGTTTTTGAACCTCTGAGATAGAACTCAAAGGACATGGAACAATCTGTTGAATGATCTTTGGGAAAGTTATTTATGGAACATGAACTCATATCAAAGACTTTCATTGCTCATTCAAGCCTAATGATTCAATGAGCAGTAAGACACGCAAGCATTTACTGGAAAGCACTTGGGGCAGATCATATGTGCAACCAAAGGAGCTTTGGGTGTGGCACATGGAAGAATTGGATAGGATTAAAAAATATAAACATGTTAGTGTGAAACTGTTCTAACAATACAAATAGTATGATATGCTTGTGCATTCTGCCTTCATCCTTTTCTATTTCTTTCTAAGTTATTTATTTAATAGGATGTTAAATATCTTTTGGGGTTTTAAAGAGTATCGTCAGCAGCTGCCCTCTGATTACATTCTCTTTTTCTTGAGCACACCACATGCATGTCTATGACCAAGTATCTTTAAAAGTTGGCAAACACTTCAAAATTAGGAGATGGGATTGGGGAAGCAATATGAGTGCCCCTTGTGCTATCAGCTGATTTATTTGCACTTCTGCAGTGAGAACTATCCGTAATAAATAAGGCAGTGAGTGGTCTGCCATGGCTTGAGTGAAAGATTTCTGCCATCATTTTAAAACATATATTACTCCTGAGGCTTCCTTTCCTATAAAATAGACCAGAAAGCCAAATTCTTCTCTTTGAATATGTTAATTCATTTCCAAGAATATACTAAAAGAGGGAAAATTAATTGTTAAGTACATTTTAGTAGCCTAGCCTCATTATTTATTAATCATTTCTTGCCCTATGTCACAGTGGTTGAATGATGAGAAGGCTGTCTGCATACAGTATAAGAATCCTTTGTAAGTCCCATAAAGCATCTCCTGTAAAGGAATCATCACTGTATTTGATATGAAGTGCAACTCTCCCAGGGGCTTAGACTGAGCAAATATATCCTCGTATATGTGTGACCATATAATGAGACCTGTTCAAGCTGTATGATCTAGTCTTTACAAAACCAAATAAATCTTATTTTCTGTAAATTTAAAGAGCTTTAGAATGTTCCATAATGTAATCATTTCAAAATTCATTTTGTTAGAGCAAGTAGAGAAAACAGTGCATAAGAACATGTTTACGAGTCATCAACACATTGTAATCCACTAAATACATACATAAGCCTTATTTGCAGTGTCTGTAGTGGTTTTTAAAATGTAGAAAAATATTATTTGTTCTAAATACTTTAAGTAATAAGACTATATTGATGCTGCAGTTTTATCTTCATATTTCTTGTTTTGAAAAAGTCTGTTTATTTTTCTTGTTTGGATACAGTATTTTGGTATAAGGAAAAACTCACCAAATGTGTCTTTTTACTGAAGTGTAAACTCCAGAAAGGCTGGTGTTTTTTGATTCTCTTATAACTTATTTGTGTTGATGCTGAAACAGCACTTCCAGTTGATCTGTTATTTAAAAATTAGTTTTATTAAAACATTTTCCCATAAAATAATCTTATAAAAGGTCATATTTCATGATTCCTTTAAAAAGTTGGCATTTCAAAAGAAATACATGTGAGGCACAGTTGTTTGGCTTATGGCTAAATTTGTATTTCATGATACTTTGCTTTCAACTTGCTTTTTGACAAATAGGTTTCTAAAAATGTTTAATTTTTGTGGTTGGAATCTGTACCTTAAATTTTAATTGGTAACTGAATCTGATAGCTAAAATGTAATGAATTCCTTTGAAAACTAGATATCTTTTTCTCTTATTTTAATATAATAATTTTACCTGACACATGAACATGGACCACCCACAACCAAAATTAAATGTTGTGAGACAAACACGGTATTAGATGACCACGGTAACAGCAAATAGGGCACAAACCGGCTTCTTATTTCACATAGCCACTTAGATTACCAAAGAGACTGTGTGTAAACAGTCATCATTACAGTACTCAAGACACTAAAACAGCTTCTAGCAAAATGTATCAGAGCTTGCAGAATCCAAAAATAGGAAGCATCCCCTCCCCCCATCCCTGATTCTCCTCCATACACTTCCCAGGAGAGATAAAGACAGAAACAGTTTGGTAAGGAGTAATGAGATTCTTCTGTATTTAACAAAAGGCATTTTTGGCTGGATATTGATATAGAATTCTGGTCCCTTTTGCAACTACTGAAGGAAAAGAAGTTCAATTTTTGAATGTTGTAGGTTTTTTAAAAAACAGAGATTTTGGAGACTCTGCCTTTGTGGGAAATATAAGCTTTGGCCCACAAATGAAAGATGCATCAGCCACAAATACCTGTCTTGAGTGCTAGTTCTGAGGAGACTCCTCCTAAAGATGCAGAAACACTCCCTCCTCCTACCTCCCAAAAGGCTGAACAGTGTATAGTATGTTACATTTAAATAAAAACAATAAAAATGCTGGGTAAAGAAAATAAAAATATTGTCCTTGTTTGTTTTATTAGCCTAAAATTCTACGTGGTAATAAAGAGAGAAGCTGGACTGCTGTGTGCTTGGCAGGATGTGGTTAAATGCCCCACAGTCCCAAATAACAACAGAAAAAAAAATTACTCAAACATTTATAAGGTTTCTTTAATGTTTTACATGTGTGAGTCGGCTATCCTTACTTTAATAACAACCAAATGCTTTCGATTTTCCTAAGTATTCAGGTCCACCTAGTTTACACAGTGGATAAAAAAGAATGAATTGAAAACAAGGATGGCTTGTGAAACAATGAAAGACTTCTGGAGGAAAGCCAGGAGGCTGCAAAATTTGATTTCAAGGAGATGGAATAGGCCAATGAATTTGATTTGAAAAGTAGAGAGAGGAAAAAAAAAAAAAACCACAATAATGCAAGTTGATTCCAGGGCTTCAAGCAAGCTTATGGCCACAATTTAAATGGATCAGTATTAATGCTGCACAGTTCTAATAATTTGAATGCTCTTAATTCAGGATTTATGATTATTCAGTAAAGTAACATTAACTTTTCCTATCAGTAAATCTTCAGCCAGTCCAAACTTGTCTTAATAAAGAAATATGTAGGAAGTTTGGAATACTTAAGAGAAGGCATCTAGTACATTAATGTAGCACGTGTACATGCAAACAAATACCATTCTAAATAAAAGATTTGTTAACTTAATTCACTAGACAGGATGTTTGCAATTTAAGCTATGCTGTAAGAAGAAAAAGACATTATTGTGGAAGAATGCTAGGGGGTGGGTGGGGTGATTCTGAGTCTACCAGAACTGAAAATTGAAGAATGTAAAACCTGCTTCCTCTCAGATTTTCATGTCCTCTTATCTAAAATTGAAGTTTATGTGGTGGCCTGCCAGTTGCTTCCAATTTACTGCTTCCCAACTCTAAAACCCCAAATGCCATTTTTTCTCAAGATTTGAAAATAAAAGAGTACTAGCTATGGCTCTAGATTTGGGTAACATACTACCCAGTAGATCCAGCTGAATGACAAGGGGTTTTGGCATGTGACAGGCTGATTTTCACTCATATGGCCACAGAGTCAAGGTACAGATTTTGACAATGGTAAAACGGTAAAACTGAAACTAGTCAAGAACCATGCATCAAAGAAAAAAAAAAGGTGATAGGCAGGTACAAAAACAGAATGATTATTTGCTGTTTATTTCAGGGAGAGTACTGACAAATATTATTTTCATCCTATTTGTTACCAAATCCAAGTATTATTCACCTCTTCATCCAAATCAGATTTAACTGCCTCTTTCTTGTATGTATTTCAAAAAGTGAAAATATTATATCTGTTTCATTTTGTTTAAAGCCAAAGTAAGACCATAAATATAGCCATGCTCACTGTTGCACTCCAAAGCTTATAGAATGATCGTTGGGATATATGGCAATTTTACATGAAATATCTTGAGACAATAGCTGACCACCTTTACAAATAATATGTACTAGCATTTTCAAATATATCAGCATATAGAAAAAGAAAGACTGAAACCCTAATGCCTTTCATTTTTTTAAACTGTAAAATAAAAAGAAAAGGAAAAAACTGGCTTTATATCTTTATGGTATGAGACAAAAGTAAACTTTAGAATCTGCATTTCTCTTTTTGAAGATTAGAAAAAAAATCCCCTTGTAAGTGAATAATCTACTGAACATACATTTATAAACACCAACATTTACAATGGGATAAACGTGATCTAACTAATGAGATCAAAGTTCTCATTTCTAAGTGGATAATGAGTATTTCCATGAGCCTGCACCATGATAGCAGCTAAAGGCAATATTTTCATACTCAGAGAAAAGCCATATGCCAACCATACATGCATGTGGCATGTATTATTTTACACATTTTTATGATCCTCCCCAAAAGAGCCTATGTTCAGTTTTAAATGTAGGCAAGTGCATCCTCTAGAGATGAGCTGAATATGAAGAATCAAAACATCCCATGTACCTCATTGCAACTGTAAATTGGACATATGCCTTTGTACAACTCAGGCAGTGGCCTCAGCTGTAGAGTAACGAACTAAGCATGGCCTTGGCCCTCTTAGAGTTTGGTTTTAATTACCTTATACACATCTTAAATGCCTAAATCATCTTACAATTTTCTAAATTATTTAGTTATCATTTCTGTGGTCAATTTAAACTGCTGACAATGCAAATATTCTCAGAGAGGTCTTTCAAGGAAAAGTAAATTAAAACCAGTGTTTCACGAGGTACATTTTGAAAAGTCTGCTTTTTATGGTTCTGGTAAGCATTAAGGTTAGGGGTCACATCAATTTGATTCAATATTAAAATATTTTAATATGTGGTATGTAAATACTAGACTTCCTGATAGCCTTTTTTCAGTGAAATAAATCAACATGTCAAGACATCAGAGTTATTTAAGCTAACATCTATGAAAATTATATAAGAAAAATATCTGTATTTTCCAACTGAGAAACACTAAAAGATGACATTACATGTAAGCATCCTATTTTTTCCTGATAAATGGAATACTGTATATGAAATGCATCTTAGCATTCGACTTCACTCTCCCGCAGGAAAAAAATAAAACTAACTAAGACTTTTCAACTAATTTCAGCAATAATTCATGCTCATCTTACCCTAGCAAAGGTCTATCTTTCATTCTTCAAGATCTCATATGAAATAATCTAAGTAGCACATTTTAACTACAATAGTTAAACTTTCTATGTCTTGGCATTTTAAATTCAAGGTGATATCAGTTACATGTTTCTTTACTAGACTCACAAGAAAAAAATAGAATTTCTATGACCAGTCATCCACTTCAGCTGTTCATATGTGTAGATACAGTAATTTATTACAGACTGTTGGAGGCAATTACTTATTGAGAACCCATAATAATTGAGATTTTTTTGAAAATTCTATTTCTCTGCACACATACAGATATTCACTAGTAATAAAACTATTTTTTAATCGTTTGAATTATTCAATACTACCACTGGCTTAAAAATACGCAAAAATTGAGCATGGGGACTGTTAGGCGTTGGAAGTGTTCACTCCTAGTATCTTCAACTGTGGCTTTAGAAACTGCATCACTGCAGATGTAATGAGTTAAGATGAGGTCAGACTAGAGTAGGCAGGACCTCTACAAAATGTCTGGTGTCCTTATAGAAAGGAGGAAATTCAGATACAAACATGCACACAAGGAGAGCTGTCTTAGTCCACTGAGGCTGCTATAACAAAATGCCATGGATCGGGTGGCTTTTATAAGTAGCAGAAACTTACTTTTCATAGTTCTAGAAACTGGAAGTCTGAGACCAGGGTTCCAGCAGAGTCAAATTGTTTTGTTTCATTTTGTTTTTCTCTCTGTTTCTTTTTTTGTACCAGGGATCAAACTCCAGACCTTATGCTTGTGAGGCAGGCGGCAGAACCACTGAGCTAAATCCCTGGCCTGAGTAAAGTTCTATTGAGGACCTGCTTCCTAGTTCACCTTCTCACTTGATTACCTCTCATGAGTCCCCAATCCAAGTATCATTACATTAGGAAAAACATTTCAACCTACAAATTTCTGGCAGACATTAACACTGCCTATCGAAAGCACACGGTATGAACAGGAAGGAAGAGATAGGATAACAAGTCCCCAAGCCAAGAGACAGCAATGATATTCTTCCTCAAAGCCATCAGAAGAAATTCATTGTAAGAAATTCATTTACA